GTACAGCAACGCTTGTGGTTTTAGTTGGTGTTTTTTTTAAGCTGCACTCTACAATCGAGAGGTGAAAATTGAAAGAACGGCGGGGGGCCCTTAATTGTACAGCAACGCTTGTGGTTTTAGGTGGTGTTTTTTTAAGCTACACTCTACAATCGAGGGTATCAACCTGGGCAAGACTTAAACATGTTATCAGTTGTGGATCTTCAGCCTGATAGTTTAGGGGGTGGGGTTAAGGGGGTAGTCAGTGAATTACGTCATAGCGTTGTAGTTTTGTTGTTTACTGCATGTGTCTTTCTGTCATCACACCTGATCAAAGCATCACACCTAGCCTAAACCTTCATCACCTTCATCACCTGACCCCCCACCCCCCAATCACACACCGACACCTACTATATAATATTCCAATTCAAATGTAGGGACATCTATGTATCATCTTCCATCCCCCACCTGCCCAAGCAGCAAAAGTGTTACCCTCCCTTTAACACCCACCTCGCCCCTCGGTGTGTATGTATCTGATGAAACGATTCGACTATGGGATTACACTTACACTTTAGATTACATCTCGATATGTAACTGATGTAACGACTCGACTCTCGGATACAACTTAGATTACATCTCAACAACCGTACCTAACATCACAACACTAGAATCCTTGTATTCAAATCTTGCACTCTCCCGTTTCAAAGTTTAAATAAATCAATCCATCTTATTGATTCATTAAAAGATCGTTCCTGTTTATGCAGCTATCTTCACCTAGTGTTCAAAGAAAACAACAAAATATTTTTTTTCATCTTCTAGTCTAGAGTGTGTATATATCTTCACTGTATAAAGCGTTCAACGAATATATTTTTCAACGCATGTGTTTAGCAGTAGAGTAAGTGCGCACTGGTGTTGGCGCGGATGTAAACAAGTATATTAGTCAACACACCACGGCTTAGCTGTCTAGTCTACATGCCATACATCAGTTCTAGATCTCGCGCTCGGAAGAAAGGATACGATTTTCACAATCCAAGTCAGTTTTAAAATAGGATGCGAAACGTCTTTTTTTTTTTACCACGCATTGAACTCAAGATGATAAACGATGTTTGTTTTGTTTTTTAAAATTGCATAGACACAACGCCGACTTGAAGGAGACAGGTTTTGATGTGAATGCAACCTTACACAATCGGTGATTGACAGTGTTGTTTTATTTCGGGGAATTCGTGATGCTATTTATAGACGTGAGGATGTTCCCGTAATGTGGTGAATTGTGAATGTGTAAACATTGGATGTAGAACCGCTGACGAGTCGCTGTGACATCTCCGAGCGCTGTGTGCAGACGTGCAGTGTGTTGATGTATGCTGATACACGCTCTCATGTAAGGTCAAGGGTGTTGTTTTATGTTTGTGTGAGTTGAATTTAGGAAGCGTGCGGACATTGACGGGGGTAATAAGTTCAACAGCGTGGGTAGATCTGAATAGTGATCACCTGTCATAATGATAGTTGTTTTTTATATAACTCGCTTTTTAACTGTTCATCTGCTATCATTATGCCCCCCCCCCCCCCCCGCACACACACACACATCAATGTTTGAATTTTCATAGGATTGAATTAAAAGACCAGATTGGGACAACACCTATACCCCCCACCCCCATACTCATTGTGCACTACAGAATCCATCATATACCACAAATATCCAGTGGCGTAGCGAGGTCGGGTGTCACCCGGTGCGGCAATTAATGGTGTCACCCCCCAGAGGCGTAGCGACCCTTCCCGGGGACAAACTTTCAAATTTTCGATTTGCACCCCCACCCTCAAACTTTCGATTTGCACCCCCCCCCTCAAACTAACTTTCTATTTGCACCCCCCCCCCCCTCTACTTTGCTAGTTTTTGCCTTGGTGTCACCCCCCTAAATGGTGTCACCCGGTGCGGTCCGCACCCCCGCCCCCCCCCTCCCCCTCGCTAAGCCTCTGCATATATCAAGTTGGTTATCCAATATGGAAATATGGGGGACATTAAAAATCTATATATCACGTACAGGGTAGAGGACTGATTTGTCGTTTTGTAGTGTTTTATATACTTAGTTGTGTTATTTTTTAAATTATTCTTTTTGCAAAGCTTCTGCAATTTATAAAACTGATATATGTTCAATAGAACACGTATCCTATACGTTCTTCTAATAAACCCCAAAACACCGAGACTTAAAATTGTTTTTTAATGACCATGTACCAAACCTTTCCTCAGAACGATGCGCTTCACATTGTTATTTTTAGAAAACCTTTAGTTCAAACAAACTCCCATAGAACCTGACTGGCACTATAAGTACGTTCTAGAACTATTGACATGTCAGGTCTCTTAGCTCGCCTGTCGACAGCCTTTGTTTACTTTTAACCAAGCGATGCAGTCCATTCTTCGTCGTCATTCTCGTGCCGCCGATAGATCGATGGAATTAATCTCTGATCAGGGCCATCGTGTCGACAACAATCGTCCGATTGACAGGCAAATAGTGCAGGTTAGACCAATACAGCGCAGTTGTGTCATGTTTAGTTGGTGCTTGATGAAATATGTCAAGTTTATTTGGTATTTGATAAAATATGTCAAGTTTAGTTTTTTATAAAATATGTCAAGTTTAGTTGGTTCTTGATAAAATATGTCAAGTTTAGTAGGTACTTGATGAAATATGTCAAGTTTAGTTGGTTCTTGATAAAATAGGTCGAGTTTAGTTGGTTCTTGATAAAATATGTCAAGTTTAGTTGGTGCTTGATAAAATATGTCAAGTTTAGTTTAGTATGCGAAGTAAAGCTCTCGTGCTGTAATGGATTGCACAGTTGCTTACCTGAAAGTCTTGAGTTCGATTCCAGTCTCGATTATCTCGAGTAGGTGAAAGTTTTTTTGTGGTTTGACACACACACTTATACGTCTTTAAAAAAAAACTCCCTCTGGATTTAATGTATACAGGGTAAGGATGGATTATCGCCAACCTTATATCTAACCTACCCCAACAAAGCACTTTGAAAAGTATACAAATCTATCATTTATACGTCAGATATTCACGTGCATGTAATTGTGTATTCTAAACGTGGCACTGCTGACTTGTAATGATATACCAGGATACATGACCGAGGGTGGAGTACTATATGATCTGTTTCACGTGAAGATTGTTCTCGCGATAATCGCTCTACTCTAGCGCTGGACTGCTTTGTTGGGCTGAGAATATAATCGTGCAGATACTAGATCTGATATGCAGATATGTGACTGGTGCTTAGGCTGTTAACAAACGTCAATAGTGGCGACAAATATCATATTTTGTGACGTGGTTGTTGACGAACGTCGCGGTTGTTGACAAATATCGTGGTTGTTGAAGAATATCGGGGTGGTGATAAATATCTTATTTTGAGTCAAATGTCGTATTTGCTAACGAATATCGTTGCGGTTACGAATATAATAGTTTGTAACGAATGCTATATTTTTGTTGAATGTCATATTTTATGACTAATGTCATACTTATTGACGAATATCATGGCTAGTGACGCATGGTATATTTGTTCACAAATTTGATCGCTGGAAATGTGCGGGTGGTTATAATGAGATTCTGTTGGCACTAAAGTGGAGTTCTAATTTCATGTCTGTTTTCTAAAAATAACTTAGCGAAACAATGTGACATTTAGTTAATGTTAAAGTATTTTCTTTTAAAGATTCCAAAAAATGCTTTGTTTTCTTATATTTATTTATTTGAGTAGCTTTCGTCTAAAATAATAAATTTGACATTTAGTTTTCTGTATTGTCAAAAATACAAAAATACTGTTTTTATTATTTTAATTTTTTTTTTAATTTTTTTTTTTTTTTTTTTTTTTGAAAATTAAAAAAAAATAATACGAGGGAGATGTTTCTTTGTTCGTACGTCACTCCAAGGTATTGAATTTTTTTCTCGTTGTCGATGACGTCATTCAGGTAACAGGATTCCTCCCGCTGCCGCCACAGGTGTGGTACCAGAAGAGCAGGCACGTGGCACAATGATTGGCAGACGTTGTCTTGTCCTGGAGTACACGCTTACCGGCAATACGTTTTTATCTTGGCGATCGTCTGCAATTTCTCGTCCCGCGAAATTCGACCGAATTTATTTCGGTTTGAACGGTGTGAAATGAAATTGTGACACGATCGTATGTGGCATTCGACTCGGTTGATATTCTACACCTAAATATATATTTTTTAATGTAGAAATAATTAGTTCTGTAAATAGAATAACATTTTCGTAAATGTTTTTTTTTTTCAATCTTCTAGCACGCAATTCAGTATTTTAAATAAATATTTGTTGGATAGATCGAATAAAATAAAAATGTAGTTTTGATGTTTAACTACATTGACGTTGCTTTTTTACCCTTTGTTACAAACCTTTGGTCGATTGGGGTGAGATTAAATAGTTGACCAGATGGATTGTTGGAAGTTGAAGTAGAGTTCATCTGTTTCTCCTATCAAAGTATGAAGGGGTACAGTCAGGTACCAGTCAGAACTAGGTGGACTCAGGGACGTCCTACAGTCAGGTACTAATAAAGGCTGGGTTGTCTCAGGGACGTTTTACAGTCAGGTACCAGTCAGAACTGGGTGGACTCTGAACGTTCTAGGGTCAGGAACACATCAGAGCTGAGCGAACTCAGGGACATCCTACAGTCAGAACTGGGTGGACTCTGGGACGTTCTACAGTCATGAACGAGTTTTAGATCCAGGAACATACAATCTAACAATTCCATTGAATTGATTATGTTTTGAAAGTAAGACCAAAATTATTCTTAGACGTCTTGTTATATTTGTGTTAAAATTACTTCCCAGAGCTGTAGATAAAGTAATGTATTGAATGGTAACTAGACTAGCAATACATTAGTAACTCCCTTGCAAGCTGGAGATGGACAAACTTGCTTGTATAGTCTGAGATAGAAACTGTATTTGATTTCATCTCCACAGAGGTACCAAGAAAACTTGCTTGTATTGTCTGAGATAGAAACTGTATTTGATTTCATCTCCACAGAGGTACCAAGAAAACAGCAGCCTATCCGCCTGTATCAACGAACTCCAGACGCTGGAGGTGGGGGAGGTGAGGGCCAACCTGAAGCTACAGGCCTGTAACGGGCTGTTTATGGCCATGGAGAATATAGGGGAGGCGGTGGAGATCACAAGCAGTGAGCATGAGATACAGGTGAGTTGAGGGGAGTGACAGGTGGTGTCAGGGCAGGTGGTGTCAGGGCAGGTGATGTCAGGGCAGGTGATGTCAGGGCAGGTGGGTAGAGGGTGTCTGACAGGTGGGGTGTCTGACAGGTGGGGTGTCTGACAGGTGGTCTCAGGGCAGGTGGTGTCAGGGCAGGTGGTGTCAGGGGAGGTGGTGTCAGGGCAGGTGGTGTCAGGGCAGGTGGTGTCAGGGCAGGTGGTGTCAGGGCAGGTGGTGTCTCAGGCAAGGTGGTGTCAGTACAGGTGAGATGAGGGTGGAGACAGGTGGTGTAAGTACAGGTGGTGTTTCAGGGCAGGTGGTGTCAGGGCAGGTGGGTAGAGGGGGTCTGACAGGTGGTGTCAGCATCGGTGAGTTGAGGGTGTAACAGGGCAGGTTAAAAGGTTGTGTCTGACAGGTGAAGTAAGTACAGGTGGTGTCTCAGGGCATGGTAGGTGGTGTCAATACAGGTGTTATGGCGGTATCACTACAGAAATCTTGTCAAATAGTCATCAAGCGAAACACGTACTCTGAATGCCACCTCCACCGTCTCCTACTCCATGCATGAAAAACCTTACACAGTCCAGCTGTTATATCCAACTTCCTGGTCTGTATCCCCGTGCTAAAATCCGGGTCCAGTTTCATCCAGGTTTAACTGCCTGTGCAGATGCTACGTATACACCTTTCCCAGAACCCACCTGCGCGCACCTTCCGTGACGTCACCTGATGTACTCTAGGTGACAAAATGGAGACAGCCCGTGTCACGTCTCTGTGTCCGTGACGGTGTGACGGATCAGTCACGCTTGGTTCCACACGGGAGGAGACGGCGCCGCGGAACTTTGATTTCACGGCGAGATTAGATAACTCTGTGTGGGATTCGAGTTATCCCCCGTGGTGGGGTGACAATGGGAATGGCGTGGTGGCATTGAACAGCTTTGTGGCAGTCTGTAGTTATGTCATAAGAAAAGGGGGAGAGGAGGAGGGTGGGGGACGGTCGGATCTGGAGTAAATGTGTTCGCTGTTAAGTCGCGTACGTTTGGCGTCTGCTGCTCATTCAGGTACCACGGGGTAAAATAACTAACCCCCCGGTGGCATCGCGATTGGGGATAGGGGAGAGCGTGGGTGGGGTGGGGGGGAGGGGGGGGTTGTAGATTCCTGACTGGATCGACTAGTAATGGCGAGCGTGGGAGGGGGGGGGGGGAAGGGTCCGATCTTCAAATTGTATTTGTGAATGTCAATTCTAGCTATAACTAGAATACCCGTCATCCGTTGGATAACTGTGGGTTTCGGGGGTCATCCATCAAAAAACATCACGTCTGTCACTCAGAGGCATAGCGACCCTTCCCGGCGCCCGGGGACAAAGTTTTCGATTTGAACCCCCCCCCCCCTCAAACTTTTGATGTGCACCCCCCCCCCCCCCCCCCCACTCAAACTTTCGATTTGAACCCCCCTCAACCTATCAATTTATTTTTCCAAACCATTTTGGCGCCGCAACATATGTCCCCCCCCCCCTTCCCCCCTTCCCCCCTCCACCTCCCCACCCCCCCCTTCCCCCCCCCCCCCGCCTCCCCTCCCCACCCCCCGCCTCCCCTCCCCACCCCCCGCCTCCCCTCCCCACCCCCCGCCTCCCCTCCCCACCCCCCGCCTCCCCTCCCCTACCGTCCCCCCCCCCTCCTCGGTACGCTACTGCAGTGTCACTTATCGTCACAAAAAACAGACCCCACATTCAAATATATGTTTTTTATCTTTTAAAAACACCGAAAACACCGATTTCGGACTATCCCTTCATAAACTGACGTCACAGGTGACCTACTCAACTCTACTTCACCTGCCCAGTGTCCTGCCAAGTCTCAGACAACATGTTTTTATCGTTTAAAAAACAATTCCAGCCGAGCATGTATCTGACCACACTATCCTTTCATATGCTTAGGACAAAGAAACAGATGAACTCTACTTCACCTGCCCTGTATCTTGCCAAGTTCAGATAGGCAACGTTATCATTCACATCTAAAAAAAAAAAAATTGAAAAAAAAAATTTCATTGACATATTGGTCTAGAACCCGTGCCTCCTGCATGAGAGCTGACTACGCTACCATTTTAGCTATTTACTCGTGACGACACAAGTGAATTTTTATACTATACTATGTGTCTCCTTATGCAACTTGATTTACGCGTATAGATTCTAGATCTAGATCTAAAAATAAGTCTAGTAGTACTAACTTTCAAATTAAATTTTATCTTAAATAAGCCAAACAAAGATTTATATAAAATAATTAAGGCCTGAAATAGATTCTAGATGTAGAATTTACATTGAATCTAGTGACCTACATCTAGGCTAGATCTAGATCTAGGCTAGATTCATAAATTTCCTTCGATAGCTGATCTTTAGATCTAGAGAAATTTATCGTAAAACTAAATGAAAAAGACAGTTGAAAATTGATATAAGTGTTGGAACGTAATAAATACAGCAAACGGACGTATTGTTAAAGTTATGACCGACAGAAAATTAGATTTAGAACGCGTTAAACTTTTGAATGGGAACACAATTTTCTTCAATAGACGCCGCCATTTTATTGTACTAAAGAGTAAACAAAAACCTGTGACGTCACTATTCCCACAAAGTTTAGTCAAGGTTTTAACATTTAAAAAAAAAATGGGTTATTCTGCGTAGGAATAAATCAATTAATTAATTAACGTCTTTAAATAAATTTGTGATCAACAGTCTGTCTGCATTAAAAAATTATTCTCTACCTGCATACCATTTTACAGCTTTCCAGATAGAGTCGAACATATCACAATTTTCGATCAGGCAAACAAATAAATATTCAAACATGTAAACAAAGTTGAGTTTTAGTAGTATACTAGAATACCCGTCATCCGTTGGATAACTGTGGGTTTCGGGGGTCATCCATCAAAAAACATCACGTCTGTCACTCAGAGGCATAGCGACCCTTCCCGGCGCCCGGGGACAAAGTTTTCGATTTGAACCCCCCCCCCTCAAACTTTTGATGTGCACCCCCCCCCCCCACTCAAACTTTCGATTTGAACCCCCCTCAACCTATCAATTTATTTTTCCAAACCATTTTGGCGCCCCAACATATGTCCCCCCCCCCCCTTCCCCCCTCCACCTCCCCACCCCCCGCCTCCCCTTCCCCCCCCCCCGCCTCCCCTCCCCACCCCCCGCCTCCCCTCCCCTACCGTCCCCCCCCCCTCCTCGGTACGCTACTGCAGTGTCACTTATCGTCACAAAAAACAGACCCCACATTCAAATATATGTTTTTTATCTTTTAAAAACACCGAAAACACCGATTTCGGACTATCCCTTCATAAACTGACGTCACAGGTGACCTACTCAACTCTACTTCACCTGCCCAGTGTCCTGCCAAGTCTCAGACAACATGTTTTTATCGTTTAAAAAACAATTCCAGCCGAGCATGTATCTGACCACACTATCCTTTCATATGCTTAGGACAAAGAAACAGATGAACTCTACTTCACCTGCCCTGTATCTTGCCAAGTTCAGATAGGCAACGTTATCATTCACATCTAAAAAAAAAAATTGAAAAAAAAAATGTCATTGACATATTGGTCTAGAACCCGTGCCTCCTGCATGAGAGCTGACTACGCTACCATTTTAGCTATTTACTCGTGACGTCACAAGTGAATTTTTATACTATACTATGTGTCTCCTTATGCAACTTGATTTACGCGTATAGATTCTAGATCTAGATCTAAAAATAAGTCTAGTAGTACTAACTTTCAAATTAAATTTTATCTTAAATAAGCCAAACAAAGATTTATATAAAATAATTAAGGCCTGAAATAGATTCTAGATGTAGAATTTACATTGAATCTAGTGACCTACATCTAGGCTAGATCTAGATCTAGGCTAGATTCATAAATTTCCTTCGATAGCTGATCTTTAGATCTAGAGAAATTTATCGTAAAACTAAATGAAAAAGACAGTTGAAAATTGATATAAGTGTTGGAACGTAATAAATACAGCAAAAGGACGTATTGTTTAAGTTATAGCCGGCAGAAAATTAGCTTTGTAACGCGTGAAACTTTTGAATGGGCCACAAAGTCTATGATGGGGTCCGCCATTTTTATTGTACCAAAAATGTAAACACATCAAGGGACGTCACTATCCCCACAAAGTTTATTCAAAGTATTAACATTTTTAAAAAAATACGGTTAATTTAACTATGAATAAATCAATAAATTAATTAACGTCTTTAAATAAATTTGTGATTAACAGTCTGTCTTAAAACAAAAATTATTCTCTACCTACATACTATTTTACAGCTTTCCAGATAGAGTGGAACATATCACAATAGTCAATCAGGCAAACAAACAAATAAATATTCAAACATGTAAACAAACTTGACTTTTAGTAGTATACTAGAATACCCGTCATCCGTTGGATAACTGTGGGTTTCGGGGGTCATCCATCAAAAAACACCACGTCTGTCACTCAGAGGCATAGCGACCCTTCCCGGCGCCCGGGGACAAAGTTTTCGATTTGAACCCCCCCCCCCCCTCAAACTTTTGATGTGCAATTCCCCCCCCCCCCCCACTCAAACTTTCGATTTGAACCCCCCTCAACCTATCAATTTATTTTTCCAAACCATTTTGGCGCCCCAACATATGTCCCCCCCCCTTCCCCCCTCCACCTCCCCACCCCCGCCTCCCCTCCCCCCCCCGCCTCCCCTCCCCACCCCCCGCCTCCCCTCCCCTACCGTCCCCCCCCCCTCCTCGGTACGCTACTGCAGTGTCACTTATCGTCACAAAAAACAGACCCCACATTCAAATATATGTTTTTTATCTTTTAAAAACACCGAAAACACCGATTTCGGACTATCCCTTCATAAACTGACGTCACAGGTGACCTACTCAACTCTACTTCACCTGCCCAGTGTCCTGCCAAGTCTCAGACAACATGTTTTTATCGTTTAAAAAACAATTCCAGCCGAGCATGTATCTGACCACACTATCCTTTCATATGCTTAGGACAAAGAAACAGATGAACTCTACTTCACCTGCCCTGTATCTTGCCAAGTTCAGATAGGCAACGTTATCATTCACATCTAAAAAAAAAAATTGAAAAAAAAAATGTCATTGACATATTGGTCTAGAACCCGTGCCTCCTGCATGAGAGCTGACTACGCTACCATTTTAGCTATTTACTCGTGACGTCACAAGTGAATTTTTATACTATACTATGTGTCTCCTTATGCAACTTGATTTACGCGTATAGATTCTAGATCTAGATCTAAAAATAAGTCTAGTAGTACTAACTTTCAAATTAAATTTTATCTTAAATAAGCCAAACAAAGATTTATATAAAATAATTAAGGCCTGAAATAGATTCTAGATGTAGAATTTACATTGAATCTAGTGACCTACATCTAGGCTAGATCTAGATCTAGGCTAGATTCATAAATTTCCTTCGATAGCTGATCTTTAGATCTAGAGAAATTTATCGTAAAACTAAATGAAAAAGACAGTTGAAAATTGATATAAGTGTTGGAACGTAATAAATACAGCAAAAGGACGTATTGTTTAAGTTATAGCCGGCAGAAAATTAGCTTTGTAACGCGTTAAACTTTTGAATGGGCCACAAAGTCTATGATGGGGTCCGCCATTTTTATTGTACCAAAAATGTAAACACATCAAGGGACGTCACTATCCCCACAAAGTTTATTCAAAGTATTAACATTTTTAAAAAAATACGGTTAATTTAACTATGAATAAATCAATAAATTAATTAACGTCTTTAAATAAATTTGTGATTAACAGTCTGTCTTAAAACAAAAATTATTCTCTACCTACATACTATTTTACAGCTTTCCAGATAGAGTGGAACATATCACAATAGTCAATCAGGCAAACAAACAAATAAATATTCAAACATGTAAACAAACTTGACTTTTAGTAGTATACTAGAATACCCGTCATCCGTTGGATAACTGTGGGTTTCGGGGGTCATCCATCAAAAAACACCACGTCTGTCACTCAGAGGCATAGCGACCCTTCCCGGCGCCCGGGGACAAAGTTTTCGATTTGAACCCCCCCCCCTCAAACTTTTGATGTGCAATTCCCCCCCCCCCCCCCCCACTCAAACTTTCGATTTGAACCCCCCTCAACCTATCAATTTATTTTTCCAAACCATTTTGGCGCCCCAACATATGTCCCCCCCCTTCCCCCCTCCACCTCCCCACCCCCGCCTCCCCTCCCCCCCCCCGCCTCCCCTCCCCACCCCCCGCCTCCCCTCCCCTACCGTCCCCCCCCCTCCTCGGTACGCTACTGCAGTGTCACTTATCGTCACAAAAAACAGACCCCACATTCAAATATATGTTTTTTATCTTTTAAAAACACCGAAAACACCGATTTCGGACTATCCCTTCATAAACTGACGTCACAGGTGACCTACTCAACTCTACTTCACCTGCCCAGTGTCCTGCCAAGTCTCAGACAACATGTTTTTATCGTTTAAAAAACAATTCCAGCCGAGCATGTATCTGACCACACTATCCTTTCATATGCTTAGGACAAAGAAACAGATGAACTCTACTTCACCTGCCCTGTATCTTGCCAAGTTCAGATAGGCAACGTTATCATTCACATCTAAAAAAAAAAATTGAAAAAAAAAATGTCATTGACATATTGGTCTAGAACCCGTGCCTCCTGCATGAGAGCTGACTACGCTACCATTTTAGCTATTTACTCGTGACGTCACAAGTGAATTTTTATACTATACTATGTGTCTCCTTATGCAACTTGATTTACGCGTATAGATTCTAGATCTAGATCTAAAAATAAGTCTAGTAGTACTAACTTTCAAATTAAATTTTATCTTAAATAAGCCAAACAAAGATTTATATAAAATAATTAAGGCCTGAAATAGATTCTAGATGTAGAATTTACATTGAATCTAGTGACCTACATCTAGGCTAGATCTAGATCTAGGCTAGATTCATAAATTTCCTTCGATAGCTGATCTTTAGATCTAGAGAAATTTATCGTAAAACTAAATGAAAAAGACAGTTGAAAATTGATATAAGTGTTGGAACGTAATAAATACAGCAAAAGGACGTATTGTTTAAGTTATAGCCGGCAGAAAATTAGCTTTGTAACGCGTTAAACTTTTGAATGGGCCACAAAGTCTATGATGGGGTCCGCCATTTTTATTGTACCAAAAATGTAAACACATCAAGGGACGTCACTATCCCCACAAAGTTTATTCAAAGTATTAACATTTTTAAAAAAATACGGTTAATTTAACTATGAATAAATCAATAAATTAATTAACGTCTTTAAATAAATTTGTGATCAACAGTCTGTCTGCATTAAAAAATTATTCTCTACCTGCATACTATTTTACAGCTTTCCAGATAGAGTCGAACATATCACAATAGTCAATCAGGCAAACAAACAAATAAATATTCAAACATGTAAACAAACTTGACTTTTAGTAGTATATAGATAGATAGATAGATTTAGATTGAGTGGTAGTTAGTAAGTTCTCTTTGTAAATTTCACGAGACAGACGAGGGAAGGGGGGGGGTGATACCGTTTATAGAAAATACCAGTCGCTTCTACGTTTCGGCAATCTTTTGTTTGGATGTTTCGTTTGATTCCACTTACAACCGATGTCAGGATATTCATTAATTTTTAATTAATTCAGCTAAAGACTACCTAGTTCTGTTACGTCAGTATCATGGTACGATAGTAATCACGTTTGTGGTTTGCTCTAGTTAGCACCCATTGGGTCACGTTGTCCTTTGTCCAGACACGTTGATCGCTCTGAGGTCTCTATCTATAACATATGTATTTTCAATGTCAGGCTTGCCAAATGTAATCTACATCCAACTTTAGTACCGGTACTTATAAAAGCTGAACAAGCCTCAATATAGATCAGCATTATATCACCTTCTCTCAGTACAAGGAAGTTGCAAACCTTAACACTGAAGTAAAAAAAAATTAAAATATACAAATAAAAATTGTATTTTATAAGCATACAATAAAGATGCCTTTTGATACTGACTAGACCTCTAAGTTCAGCACCACAATAGCACCTTGTTAAACCTAAGTTTGTGACTTTGTGACTTGCTAAATAAAAATGTAAAACATCTCTAAACTCCTGTACCGCAAATAATGTCGTGTCTATTCATTGAGATTTTGGATTCATTCGAGCGTGGAGAGTCGATGCTGGGATGAAAGGGTTCAGTGTTTGTCACCATCCAGCTGGATTAATACATCCTCGTCTTCCGAGGTTTCCCAGAATCCAATGGGGAAATATCCCAGACCGGACCTGACCCCTAGCGTCACCGTGACCTTTGTCGATACACCCATTCACCAATACACCATTTCTATGAGAAACAGCTGCAGTGTATTGAAACACGTAGGCGCCTGTATCGGACTGTTAACGTTATTTTCTCACGACTTCCAATTCTTATATTTATGAATTTGAAACAACTAATTTGGATAAATAATAACACGTGCAAGGTTTTAAAATTATCTAAAAGTACATCTTTACTTCTATTCACAAATTTCGTTAAATGTGTTTCTGTGACTTTTTTTCCGGTAAGTTGTTTTTTTTTTATTAATTATTTTTGTTACTTTTCTTAGTAAAACCGGTGACTTTATTTCCGTGATATTTTTTCGTACGTCTTTTTTTTTCCGCTCGCCGAATTCGCCATGGGATTGTTCCCCCCCCCCGCCCCCCCCCCCCCCCCCCCCCCCCCCCCATTGTACACCCCATGCAACTCCAATGCGAAGAAATCAAACGACTGCCCTTGTTGTTGTTGTGTTGTGCAAAATGCAAATGAGATTTAAGTATAATTAGTTTAATTAAAATTTGTTAAAACACAAAACTTTCTACTTTTTAAAAAAAAAAAGCGTTACTAAATTGGGCGCTAATGACGTTCCAAAATCACGAACCGTAAACAAAAGTCCCGCTTGTTTTAAGGGGAGACCACTCTAAAAATAAACTTCTCAAACCCCCAACCTATTTTCAGTTTGTGAACCACGCCTACGAGAGGTTGTGCGGGTACACGAGTGAAGATATCCTGGGCCGAGACTCCAACGAGCTTTTCAGATGTGATAAAAACAGGGAGACCATCGAGTCGATCAACGGACATATGAAGAAGGGCAAGGTAAGAGTTGTTGTTCCTGCTGTGTTGTTTGTGTGTGATAAACCCGCGTCTGATAGCGCAGTGTGCTCAGTAGTTACACATGTATTTGCTTACACTGACGCCGGGACTTAGCCGAGCGTATAATGAAGCCTTCGCTCCATTCACAGTACAATCGTTACATTGCTGTGGATACATGATTACATATACATCACAAATGTTATATAATCAATCAATCTATATATTCACCCAAACTGTCAAGACCTATCGCCTAGCAATAAGAAAACGACAATATATTTAAGCCTATATTATCATAACAAGCATTGTTAATTAACATCGTTTTAATAGTATTCTAACTTTGTTTACAACATACACTAATTATTTGCGTGTATTATACTACAACTTTAATCAATGAAATGAATATTTTGTTTCGGTTTAAGTTATTCTTTATTCCAAGATTTAAGGTACCTAGTGTCGACCTCCGGAATAGAGCTCTCTAGCCAATTGAAACAAAATAGTTATTCGCGATGTGACGATGAATGGAATAGTTTACTAAAACAGAAAAAAACTGAATTCGCCTACAAATGTTACTTGGAAGCGACAGTGGCGTAGCATTTGGTAGGACGGTTAGGGCGCTATTCCTCATTATTGGGTGGTTGTTCATAAACGGTTCCAAGTTTTTTTGGTTAATTTTTTAAATTTAAGTTAAAAAAAAATATTTAAAACAAACTGACAGAAATTAATTTCTAACATTCTTTCTCCTTACCCTTCTGTCATACTCACACAATACCAAACCTCTTCCCTTTCTGTAGTGGTACGTTTTGTGTGCACCGTCCCCGTCTTGGTTGGCATTGTTTTGTTTTTTAAGTAGGTGTGGGGTGTACGAAGGTGCAAGAATTCCTGAAAAGCGACCGTTGGTTTGATATATTTTTTTTTAAATATGAATGTCATGTTAACAATAAACACTATCTGTGGTTCGTCTTTCCTCATTTATTACACACTCTTAGTGTGTGTGTTTATATGTGTATATGTGTGTGTGTATGTGTGTGTGTGTGTTTGTGTGTAATTTATGCCTGACTTCTTGAAGTCCCTGATCGACTTTAGTACATATCAAATGACTCGCATGTTATACAAATTAACACCGATCAATGATTACTGACGTCATAGCAATCACGTGCAGAGATAGGATCGAGGCTCATGAATCAAAAGAAGTGCCAGAAAGTAGTCCGGCACGAGCTAGACATTATCTCGCCCACTTCGCGCTGTCGTAACGTAAGACAAGAATGCTTACGTCGTGACCTTTGTCCTTTTAATGGGTGACACGGTGACGTCAATACCGACTTCATTACCGAACAAGCTAGTCGGCTACAAAGCAGATCGTCGTATTCAAATCGAACAGAGATTAAAAAAGAAAGAAAAAAATTAAAATCGATTTTCTGTTCGTGTTAAGAAATAATTTTTCCTCTCCAAAGTTGTATTTATATTTCAGTAATTCCTTTTCAGCGATGAATACAACCCTACGTCGCGTTAAAAAAAATAATTACGCGGTCTATTAGTCGTTTGTTAAAGAATTATTAATCTAATGAAGGATCTTTTGAAACCTAACAGTACACCTATACCACGTGGTTTGTTTTCCAGACAGCGCCACCCAGCGGTTAAAGGGGTGCTCGTATATCTTAATTAAAAACGGAATTTGTCGTTAAAATGCGCACGCAATTTACGTTAGTGGTTTGTTCTGTAATTCCTATTTACTTCAAAACATTTTTGTGCGTTTAAGACTTCTAAAAATAGAAGCAATACAGCGTGCCATTCTTTCATGTTAGAAAGGGGGGATCTTTTATTTGGGAGGGGGTAGCTTAACTATCTTAGTTAATTAACTAAATCGACCGGGGGCTACTTTATTACCGGTGGTAATTGATTGATGGTAGGGTGACTTTGACAACTGATAGTCCAGCAACAACTGACAGTCCAGTAACAACTGACATAACAACTGACAGTCCAGCAACAACTGACAGTCCAGTAACAACTGACAGTCCAGTAACAACTGAAAGTCCAGTAACAACTGACAGTACAGTAACAACTGACAGTCCAGTAACAACTGACAGTCCAGTAACAACTGACAGTCCAGTAACAACTGACAGTCCAGTAACAACTGACAGTCCAGTGGTCTAGTAACAACTGACAGTCCAGCAACAACTGACAGTCCAGTAACAACTGACAGTCCAGTAACAACTGACAGTCCAGTAACAACTGACAGTCCAGTGGTCCAGTAACAACTGATAGTCCAGTAACAACTGACAGTCCAGTAACAACTGACAGTCCAGTGGTCCAGCAACAACTGACAGTCCAGTGGTCCAGCAACAACTGACAGTCCAGTAACAACTGACAGTCCAGTAACAACTGACAGTCCAGTAACAACTGACAGTCCAGTAACAACTGACAGTCCAGTAACAACTGACAGTCCAGTAACAACTGACAGTCCAGTGGTCCAGTAACAACTGACAGTCCAGTAACAACTGACAGTCCAGTAACAACTGACAGTCCAGTAACAACTGACAGTCCAGTGGTCCAGTAACAACTGACAGTCCAGTAACAACTGACAGTCCAGTAACAACTGACAGCCCAGTAACAACTGACAGTCCAGTGGTCTAGCAACAACTGACAGTCCAGTAACAACTGACAGTCCAGTAACAACTGACAGTCCAGTGGTCCAGTAACAACTGACAGTCCAGTAACAACTGACAGTCCAGTAACAACTGACAGTCCAGTAACAACTGACAGTCCAGTAACAACTGACAGTCCAGTGGTCTAGCAACAACTGACAGTCCAGTAACAACTGACAGCCCAGTAACAACTGACAGTCCAGTGGTCTAGCAACAACTGACAGTCCAGTAACAACTGACAGTCCAGTAACAACTGACAGTCCAGTGTTCCAGTAACAACTGACAGTCCAGTAACAACTGACAGTCCAGTAACAACTGACAGTCCAGTAACAACTGACAGTCCAGTAACAACTGACAGTCCAGTAACAACTGACAGTCCAGTAATAACTGACTGTCCAGTAACAACTGACAGTCCAGCAACAACTGACAGTCCAGTAACAACTGACGGTCCAGTAACAACTGACAGTCCAGTGGTCCAGCAACAACTGACAGTCCAGTAACAACTGACAGTCCAGTAACAACTGACAGTCCAGTAACAACTGACAGTCCAGTAACAACTGACAGTCCAGTAACAACTGACAGTCCAGTAACAACTGACAGTCCAGTAACAACTGACAGTCCAGTAACAACTGACTGTCCAGTAACAACTGACAATCCAGTAACAACTGACAGTCCAGCAACAACTGACAGTCCAGTAACAACTGACAGTCCAGTGGTCCAGCAACAACTGACAGTCCAGCAACAACTGACCATGGGCGAACTAATATAGCCCCTGAGTGACGTAACTAACTGACCGTATGCTATCTGTATTGACTGGCCCATGGTAAACCTGACTATAGGCTGACCTAACCTTACCGACCCTAGGCTAATTTAGCTATGTTACCAAGGTTAATCTAACCAAACTGACCCTTGGCTAATTTAGCTAACACGAGGTTAACCTAACCTAACTGAACCTAGGCTAAATTAACCTGAATGACCCTGGGCTAACCTAATCTAATTGACCCTGGGCTAACCTAACCTAACCGAACCTAGGCTAAATTAACCTGAATGACCCTGGGCTAACCTAATCTAACTGACCCTGGGCTAACCTAACCTAACCGAACCTAGGCTAAATTAACCTGAATGACCCTGGGCTAACCTAACCTAACTGACCCTGGGCTAACCTAACCTAACCGAACCTAGGCTAAATTAACCTGAATGACCCTGGGCTAACCTAACCTAACTGAGCCTGAGCTAACTTCACAATCTTACCGACACGTTTAACCCGCCAGAAACTATGTTTTAACCACTGCTCAAGACGTCATAAGACGTCACGAGGTTAAGATTGGCTATCCAAGCCCGACCCACGGGGCGCCCCGCGGGATGACACGTCGGGCGCCCCCCGGATAAGGCTGGCAGTGGCTAACAGATGAGGTTTTTTTAATCGCCTGAGGGAAGACGGAGTGCGCTTGACGTGGGTGGCGGGCTGTGTGGGGTGGGTGGGGGCGTGTGGGGTGGGTGGGGGAGCGGAAGGTTAGGAGGGGGGGGGGGGCGCCGTGATAGCTTATCGCAACTCACTGCTCACGTTTAACGGTTTAAAATAAAACCGTCTAGATGTGGTTAAATTAAAACCGTCTAGATGTGGTTAAATTATAACGGTCTAGTTGTGGTTAAATTAAAACCGTCTAGTTGTGGTTAAATTAAAACCGTCTAGATGGGGTTACATTAAAACCGTCTAGATAGTATGACAAAAATAGGACCGTTCGTTTTTATTCAAAAGTAAAATACGTATTATCAGCTATTGGCGAAATAAAAAAAAACGATGTGCTATGTTTAAATGTAACCAGCCAGCTCGCGTACCTTATCAATAGTTCAATAGTTAAATATAACTGACCAACTCTAACTACCTAAATGAAAATATCAATAGTTGAATATAACCGACCAATTTTAATTACCTAAATGAAAATATCAATAGTTGAATATAACTGACCAACTCTAACTACCTAAATGAAAATATCAATAGTTGAATATAACTGACCAACTCTAACTACCTAAATGAAAATATCAATAGTTGAATATAACCGACCAATTCTAATTACCTAAATGAAAATATCAATAGTTGAATATAACTGACCAACTCTAACTACCTAAATGAAAATATCAATAGTTGAATATAACCGACCAATTCTAATTACCTAAATGAAAATATCAATAGTTGAATATAACCGACCAATTCTAATTACCTAAATGAAAATATCAATAGTTAAATATAATTGACCAACTCTAATTACCTAAATGAAAATATCAATAGTTAAATATAACCGACCAACTCTAACTACCTAAATGAAAATATCAATAGTTGAATATAACTGACCAACTCTA